ACGAACCGCCCATCACCGAACCAAATTAATTAGTAACCCAAAAGTAAGCATCCTTCCTGGTAACAATTAATTAAATTAGCGCTTAATTATCTACAGAACGGATGCTAATTAATCACCATATAATTATTCACCACACCTAGAGTAGCTAGCTACAAAACCATCCGGCCTAGCTAACCATCCATAGGCTAATGAAACCTGCAGCGCAACTAATCAATCAATCAGTCATCGCCGTTACCGACTAAGATTCGCTTTTCAGATATAATAGTCGTGGTAGTACTACTCATCCGGTCCATTATCTTCTCTTAAATATTTCTAGCTAATTAACATGTCACCCTTTTTTTTTTCTTTTCACTCTCTTATCGATCTCTCGTCGTGAGGTGAGCAAATTCTTCATCATCTACTGTTTTTGTGAAAGATGCACGAAAGCATTGAGGCTACTACTTACGTTGTTGTTTTTTTTACCTTTCATTTTCTCTTAAATATTTCTAGCTAATTAACACGTCACCTTTTTTTTCACTCTCTTCTCGATCTCTCTCGTGAGGTGAGAAAATTCTTCCTCATCTACTGTTTTGTGAAAGATGCATGAAAGCATTGAAGCTACTACTTATGTTGTTTTTTTTTTACCTTTCATTTTCTCTTAAATATTTGTAGCTAATTAACACGTCACCTTTAATTCTTTTTTCACTCTCTTCTCGATCTCTCTCGTGAGGTAAGCAAATTAGTCCTCATCTACTGTTTTGTGAAAGATGCGTGAAAGCATTGAAGCTACTCTTATGTTGTTGTTTTTTTTTTTTTACCTTTTGTTGTTTTAGACTTCTAATAGTAGGGCCTGTTTAGCATAACTATATCTTCAGTTTCACCTTTTCTGGAGCTGGAGCTCAGCCAAACAGTTTCAGCTCCACTTAAAATGGGAGTGGAGCTGGGTGGAGCTCTCTCACAGAATGAACTAGAGAGGTATAGCTAGGTTTAGGCAGCTCCACAACTTCACTCCATACCTAACTTCTGTAACTAAATTTAGAAGTTGGAGTTCTATCAAACAGGCCCGTAATATAGACGTTTTAGTCATAATATATATATTTTTATCTATATGCCAGTAAAGTGTACAAATTATAGTCTCATTTTTCATGTTTATATGTGAGTACACGTAAAATTAAAAAATTATAATGGCATGAGTTTTATAAGCATAATAAGTGAAGTCACATGAAAATATGTATACTACTCCCTCCGTTCCATAAGTGATTATGCCCTTATAGTCTACTCTCTTCGTCCTAAAATATAGTAACTTTTGTTTAGATGGGACGTATCCTAGTACTACGTATCCAGATTCGTAGTACTAGGATACATCCCATCTAACTAAAAGTTGCTATATTTTAGAACGGAGGGAGTATCTCACAGTATAATAAATTTTGTGGCTCCACATACTCCCTCCGTCCAAAAAAAAGTATAGTTTTGTACTATTAATATCCAACGTTTCACCGTTTATCTTATTTGAAATTTTTTATGATTAGTATTTTTTATTGTTGTTAGATGATAAAACACGAAGAGTACTTTATGTGTGACTATTTTTTAAAAAAATTATAAATTTTTCAAATAAGGCGGACGGTCAAACGTTGGACACGGATTTCCATAACTGCACTTATTTTGAGACGGAGGGACTAATACTTTATGTCCCATCCATCTACTCATACACTAGTTTATTCCTCCACCTATCAAATCATGTAGTACTACTTTATCCTCTAGTTACCTATTTTGTTCCTTAATACTCACTCCATCTACTTTTGATAGTCATATTTCATCTTGGCACACAGACCAAGGATAAGTAATTCTACTTATCATTCATTTAAACATGCTACTAATTATTCATTATAAACAAGCGATTCATTAATATTTACATTTCTCGATGTCCATGTAGTCAATCTTGTGTGGAAGAATAAAGAGTCACGTATTAAATCCGAGAAAGTCATTAAGAGGATATGTTGTTGGATTAAAATATGCCTATCAAAGATAAATTTTTCAAATTTAGAAATATAACTATTAAAAGTAGATAGAGGGAGTACGTTCTTTATTGCTTTTAAAAATATCATAATCCCTTATATTATATCGAATAGTGATGAGGTCATCACTCATCTTTAGTGGCTGTATCATAGTAAGGTGGTGTTTAGATCCAGGGACTTAACTTTAGTCCCTGTCTTTAGACACTAATTTAGAGTATTAAATATAGACTACTTACAAAACTAATTACATAAATAAAAAGCTAATTCACGAGACAAATTTTTTAAGCCTAATTAATCTATAATTAGAGAATGTTTACTGTAGCATCACATAGGCTAATCATGGATTAATTAGGCTCATTAGATTCGTCTCGCAAATTAGTCCAAGATTATGGATGGGTTTTATTAATAGTCTACGTTTAATATTTATAATTAATTTTCAAACATCCGATGTGATAGGGACTTAAAAGTTTTAGTCCCATCTAAACAGGGTCTAAGTATGCCAATTTCAGAGAAACTCCGTAAGTTTATTTTAAGGTATGCACAGCATTTTCTTAATTTGTATGTGTACCATGTATACTCAACTTTTTAGTTTATCTGCATATTTTATATATATATATATATATATACATATATACATATATATATACATATATACATATATATATATACATATATACATATATACATATATACATATATATATACATATATACATATATATATATATATATACATATATATACATATATATACATATATATATATATATATATGTATATGTATATATATATACTTACTTAGTAAGCATCAAAATGTTCAACAGCTAAAAAACAATTCTTTTTTATAGTCTGGGACAAAATTAAAAACATTTACTTGTATTCGATGCATGTAGTATATATACTACCCTTTATTCAGATGAGCAAATTCGATCTTCAACTTTAACTTAATTAATTATTCCTTGCCTCCATTTATAAGTATCATCATCGTTGCAAAGTCCACCAGAATCCAACAATTCATGGAGATCTTTTGCCCCATTCGTAAGCAACTCCATTCTTGAAAGAGACATTTGCAACTAAGGTTTGAACGCCAATATAATATATATGTATACGTATCTATAGTTAGCAATTAATAACAAAAACGTACTGATAATTAATTGGGACTTCCCAGAAATACTGGTGATTAAGTAATTACGTTTCCATTTAATCAATTATTAGAATTCTCATTAGAATTTTATAGGTGCTAGATTGGACAGTTGCAGGTACAAATATTTGTCTGTAATGCTTTTAGTGAGCATTTGATCGTGGCGTTGTAACGCGATGTTGATTTGTGTCCCCGTCGAATTGGTCGGATCTCATTTTCTTGATGTAAAGCAAGCAAACCTGAAGATGAAATTGGAACCATAAGATCTGAAAAATCCGGAATTTGTGTTTCTACTTTTTAAATATTTTTTAGTGAAACACGTTCACACTGTGGGGATCTAATTAATTAACCACATAATTGCAGCAAACAATTCTGGAAAAATACTAACTAATGTTTAAAAGCGCGACAAACAAATTAACAAAAGAAATTGGTTGATGGAAAAATAGCCTTACGCTCCACCACTGTATCACAAGCAACTGAGTAATTATCGTCATGCATATGATCAATACTTTATTTAACAAATGCAAATATGGCATTTGGCATTATTATTACTTTTCGGAAGTACTTACTTACTTATTTTTTTTTAACAAAGTGTTAATTTGGATGGGTACTAAAATTTCTTACTAGAATTAGTAAAGATTAATCCCCCTTATAGTCCATACTCCAAACAAACATCATAGCAAAGCGCAACCACAAAATGTATTTCCCTTATATTTGTGGTGAATGGATGAATAACAGAACGATTTGAGATAATTATTCGATGGTATAAGCAGATGAACTGTTGAAACAAATAGAATTAAAACAGTATTTTAAAATTATAAATAGATATCTTTTTTCTCTTTGAGAAAAGGCACGGTTTAGAAGCTCATGAAACGTGCTCTTTCGTCCACCATTCCATTCCTTTCTGAAAAGAACTGAACGGGGCACCACGTCAAGGAATTCGGCGAAAGTTTCCATGAAAGAATCTGCTCTTCCTTCCAAATTTAGTACTCATACTTTCGAGATTTTGTATGCTATCATCCATCCTAAAATAAACTATATACGATAGAATGTTACATTGCATAATACAACTAGTTTTTTTCTTTTCTTTTGACTTATGATTTATTTTATGACATAGTGAGTATATGCCTTATTACAAAATAAGTTTACCTTTTACCTCTCTCGTTTGTCGGATAGTAAATTTATTTTTAAGTAATAAAGAGAAAAATGATTACATTGAGATTTGATAAAGTGAGATCATTTTATTCTGTATTGATATATGTATGAAATGGATAAACGGAGGAAAAACAACATAAATTTCTTACTCATGAAAACACACTCCCCTTCTTTTTTTATCTCTATCTATATTATTATAAAAATTTAAGATGTTTTTGCCGATATTTTGGTACGTCATCCGTTTATGAGTCGGTGTTTAAATTCATTTGTTTTTGGAAATACATATCCGTATTTGAGTCAGATTTTAAATTTGTTCGCTTTTGAAAATATAGGAGGAGTCGTGTAGAAATCTCTTTAAAAACTCGCATGCCAACTTAAGATGATCGGACTCCTAATTACAGCTCATGATTTTCTTAAAAAAATATATATCCAAGTGAATTCCCACAGTGAATTTCACCTGGACTAAACCGTATAACAATAATAAGATTAAAATAGTCTCCACCCGTTACAACGTACGAGCATTTTGTTAGTAAAAGGAAAAAAAAAAAAGGAAAACACACACCCCGTAAGTCCCCATCCGTCGACCAATCCCATCCGTCCGTACCAAGATCCAACGGCCCAGATCTCTCTCTCCTCCCCCCAAAAAAAAGAAAAAAAATACGTGTTGCCTCTGCATAGAGAATCCGGGATCCCGTCTCTCACTCCCTTTTAGCCTCCGATTCGTCTTCTTCGTGGGTCGCACCACCCTCTCCTCTCTCTCCTCCTCTTCTCTCTCTAGCCTAGCTCAGCTCTCTCAACTCTCTCTCTCCAGCTCCACCTTCTCCGAGGCCGCCATTCCCAAGGTTACCACCACCACCACCACCACGCAGCAGCGGCCTAGGAGTACTTGCGGCGGCTGCTTGATCGGTTTTCTTGGTAAGCGTTGCGTTACTCTCCTCGCCGCCGGGAGACCTCGGGATCCGGTGGCTGTGTGCGTCGGGTGGGAGGGGAGGGAGGGATGAGTTCTTGCGGGGTCGGGGGGTGGTTGAGGGGAGAGCGGTGGTGGGTGCCCGCCGGAATGTGGCCTCGCCGGAGGCCGGAGCTCGCCGCCGCGCCGGATCTGGGATGTGGGGGTGGGGTGGGTGGCTACTGCTTCTTCGGTTCTTCTTCCCCGTCTGCGTGTGTGTGTCTCTCCTCGTTTGAACACGAAATCTTCGGTTTTTCTTTTTTCTTTCTTCGTTTGACCTCTCCGTTTTTAGCGGGCGTTTTTTTTTTTTTTTGGAGATTTCGGTGCCGTGTGCGCTTCGCGTTTCGGGGTTCAAAGTTTTTTTTTTTTTGCGGTTTCATCTGCTTCATCATCAAGTAATGGGAGGAGATTTTTGAGTCTTGCAGTTTAATCTGCTTCTTCTTCGAGAAATAATGGGAGGGAAGAAAAATAAATCGTTGCTTCTTGCTGCGAATCTGGGGGCTTTCCTGTTCGTCCGTTCCCTACAGTTTCTTTTGCCCATGTCGAGTTCTTGATTTGAGCTCCTTTAATGTGAATTTGTTTGTATTTTTCTTCTTGGATGCTGCCTTCTCTTTCCAGTTTCTACACGTTTGGTGATGTAGCTAGCTACTGCTGCCCATGTCTCAATCACTGATAAACTCTGGATCTCATCATCTTTGCAGGCTCGTCAGTTGCAGTATTCCCTCCTCAAAATATATAAAAAGGAAGGAGCTCCCTGAGGCTAGTTGGATTGGATGACGTCTCGTGAAAGTTGCAAGTGATGGTGCTCTGACTGGTCTTTTGCCTTTGATGTCTCTGCTGGTGATGGGATAAGTTGGCGCACTATCTATCTTGGCTGTGTGTTCTGTTGAATCTTGTCTAGTTGTGGGTGTGTGTGTGATGGGGTCGTCTGGTTGCAGCTCTGAGATAGTTGAGTTCACCGAAGAATTCGACGATAATGCGCCGGTTAGTTGCCCCAATTTGATGCATATTAGAGTGAAGCCTGAGGAGAAAGATGGGAGGTGTTACCCTGTGGAGGATGACCTTGAACAGCTTCTCAAGGCGATCGACAGCAGGACCTTCCGTCGGACGCTTAGCCCTGGTCAGGCTGGCGCCGACGCTCTGCGGAAGAATGGTCAGAAGAAATCGTCTAGGTCTGGGCCGGCTCAAGCTGCGGGGATCGGGATTTCGTCCAAGCCTGTTAATATGAAGCAGGCGTTGAGGAGGCTGTGCATTTCGCAGGCGTCGGAGATGGCCGCGATGAAGAGGCTGTCGATGTCGCCTGGATCATCGAGTTCGTCGGAAGTGGGGACTATCCACAGGCTTTATGCCTCCTTGATGGTCCAGAGCAACGGTGAGAGCCATCTGCATGATGATGAGAAGATGAACTTGATTGAGATATCGATCACTCCAGAAAAGTTTAGTAAGAACTCGTCCAGAGCAACAAGCGAGTTCAGTGAAGACTGTGATTTCGAGACAGCCGACGGGAGTGCAGTCACCTCCCTGCATTCTGCATCATCTACCTCGGCTGAGATACAGAAGATCAGGATCCAAGATGTCATCAGTGGTGACCCTATAGACAGCGAGAGTTCTATGGTGGAAAATGAGAAATTAAACAAGAAAGTTTCCACAGCTACCGACGGTAGCTCTCCCAGAGCCCCTATCTTGAGCAAACCGATCACTACCTCACGGCTTGTTAAGCCAGTCTTCCGATGCAAGACCATCGGTAAGAAGAAACTGAAAGAAGAACCACCTTCATTGGGTACTTCCTCCAACAGTACAAAATTCTGCTCTTCAAAGGAGTCCATCTCCCTTGCATCAACCAGTTGCTCTTCAACATCCAGCATAACAAATCCCACTAGCTGTGCAGATGATGAGAAAACAAATCTCGGGCCAGAAAAATCTGGTGATAAATCGCCTGAGTGGTTAAGATCAGAGGAAAAGGGGGAGTGCTCCCAGAATTCAAACAGCATTAGTGAGTATGGATGTAGCACGAGCATCAGTGATGAGAGCCAATTTGGATTGTGTAGCTACAACAACAGACCACACATGGCAAAGGATCTGCGTTGGATAACCATCCGTGAGTTGGCATTGCAACAAGGATCCTTAGGTCTTGACAATTTCAAGCTTCTGAAGAGGCTTGGTTGCGGCGATATAGGGACTGTGTACCTAGCTGAGTTGGTTGATTCAGAGTGCTTGTTTGCTTTGAAGGTTATGGACATAGAGTACCTGATCAATAGAAAGAAGATGCTGCGTGCACAGGCTGAGAGGGAGATTCTAGAAATGCTGGATCACCCATTCCTTCCGACTCTTTATGCCCATTTTACCACAGACAATCTTTCGTGCTTGGTCATGGAGTACTGTCCAGGAGGTGATTTGCATGTTCTTCGTCAAAGACAACCTGGGAGAAGCTTTCCGGAACCAGCTGCAAGGTAAATCCTGCTAGTAGTTACTTCTTGTAAGTTAGAACTTAACATATAAACATTTAGTACTCTGGAGTTCTCCATGGTTTGTGCAGTTCTGTGTCTTGATTTTTTTTTATCAATTAACTTGCTAGCGTGATTTTTTAATAGGCATGTGAAAAAACACACAACTCTAGTCCATGTTGATGTCATGTATATGTTTTTTTTCTCTGTTCTCTAGCATTAGCTCTATTGGATTTCAACAACAATTGTCCTTGTACTTCACAAATAGCTATTTGATTTGTTCTCTATTAAGTCAAATGAACACTAGCTACAGATGTGGCATTTTTTTCCTTTCGATTTTGTTATAATAACTGGCGTTGAATTTGTCCAGTGTGTATGGAGTATGGATCATGTCATGTGCTAGGCTCAAGCTATCTAGATCTTTCCTTCTAGGTTTTAGCGAGCCATATTTTAGATACTTTTTTGGTTGTACATTTTTCAACCTTTAATTTTTGTGCATTTGTAAATTTCTCACCTGCTTGTTTTTATTTCACTCTACTGATGTCAATTGTTACTTTGCAGGTTTTATGTTGCAGAGGTTCTCCTTGCACTTGAATATCTTCACATGTTGGGGGTCATATACCGTGATCTTAAGCCTGAGAACATCCTAGTCCGTGAAGATGGTCACATTATGCTATCGGACTTTGACTTGTCCTTAAGGTGCTCAGTGAACCCCGTACTCCTCCGATCATCCTCTGTAGCAGCAAACCATCAACCAAGGAAGCTTGCAGGACCTTGTGCAGAAAGCAGCTGCATCAGTTCATCATGCCAGCCTTCTTGTGCCCAAACATCTTGTTTCATGGCACGTCCTCCATTGCCAAAGCCTCGGAAGCCTAAATCTTCACACAGAAAGCTCCCTCAGCTTGTTGTTGAACCTATAGATGCAAGGTCCAATTCCTTTGTAGGAACACACGAGTACCTCGCACCAGAAATCATCAAAGGGGATGGTCATGGTAGTGCTGTGGACTGGTGGACCTTTGGCGTCTTCCTTTATGAACTGTTGTACGGTAAGACACCTTTCAGAGGTCCTGGGAATGATGAAACATTGGCAAATGTGGTTTCGCAGAATCTCAAGTTCCCAGAAAATCCATCTGTCAGCAGTAATGCCAAAGATCTTATCAAAGGTTTGCTAGTGAAGGAGCCAGAGAACAGACTTGGATCATTGAGAGGAGCAGCTGAAATCAAGCAACACCCTTTCTTTGAAGGCTTAAATTGGGCCTTGATACGATCTGCCGCTCCTCCAGAGACGCGACCCTGTGACGTTGTGACCCTCACGACAGCGAAGAAGAAGAAAGAAGGCAAGTGCCTGGAGTTCAGGAGTAACTCTGAGGACCTGGAATTTGAAGTTTTTTAGCAAGTGTCTTTGGTACAGTTTAGCACTCTTCTGCCAAATAGAGTCTACATTTTTCTTTTGGGTAGCCAAAGGCTGGGGGTGTACATTGTACAAGTAGATGTATTTCTGGTTACTGCTATGTACCTGTTAATAGATCACTAAATTCAAAGGAATGATGGAAGTTGAAGCCATCTGTTGCATAAGGATCACTAGGTTTGATCAAACACTGATGGCTATACTCTTGTTGTGCAGTCTAACACTGATGAGTCATGTAGCTTTGCTGCTGCTGTTCTTGCTAACTTATCATAATTTTCTTGTCGAAGTTACAACTTACAAGCATGATTTGGTTATGTATATATGCAAATGACAATGAAGTTGACCTGAGCAATACCTAAATGGTGAAATTGCTAGGCTGCTAAGTTTGTTTTTGGACAAAAATTTCTCCAACTGCAGTTTCATCAAGGTAATCCAGGAGAGCACCATGGCAAGTGAAGAAAAAAAAGTTTCCCAGATCAACTGGGAGGATATCAAATTAGAATTTGAAGATAAGTACACAAATTCTTTATGCCCAAAAGAAAAATCAACTCCAATTATCATGAAAAATAAAAAAGAACTCAACAAGAATCACCAAAATGATCAAATTATTGGGACTTCTGCAGTGCATCTTTGTCTGCTTCCTCCCTAGGATTCTGCTGCTGTGCATCATTGCCACTTGTCTCCACATGTATCCAATCAGATGCATGTACTCTATCCACATGTTTAGGCACCCAATGCCCCAGCTGCACATGTGCATATGCAGTATCACAACATCAGATCCAGCATTTTTTTTTCTTCAGCTAAGCAATTGTTTTTGTTTCCCTCTTCAGAAAGCCTGCCCAAATCACTTTTGAAGTGTGCATTATTCAGGATACTCACTAGCTGCATTTTCATTTATTTGAAAAGAACAATTTAAGATGCATCACATATTTCACAATTCAAGTAGAACCAGAGAAATCCTATCCAGAACTCAATTGATTTCACATCTTCTCTGGTAGGCCAGCATTTCAACCAACTATCCTGAACTGTCGAAGTAGCCACAGTGGAATGAAAAGGACCCTTGCTTCATTGCTTGTTTATATGAAAACCATCACTCATGTCATGAGCATTGACCGACACTACACAAGTAGGGAGAAAAAAACATAATCACACAGTAACCAGAATGCGAATGACGCGTCGCGATGTTTTCTCCTGAACTTTCTGAAATTTAACATAGTTTTGTAAGTGGTTTATACTGTTTTGATCGAATTAGTGGTTTTCGCCTGATATTTGAATGTGCAGGTGTCCTTTCATTTTACAGGAGTTTAACAAACTCAACTCCAAGTCAGATCTGAAGGCAGAAAAGCCTGCCTTACCTTTGTGCTTTAGGCATGGAAATTGTTTATGAGATAGTGGTGGCCATGAGGGCCTTTAGAAGGTTCATCTATATTCTTATGACAGTGTCCATGCACATCACTTTTGTAGGATCCAATGAGGAAATATCCACCCCACTTTTAAAGGTTAGTTTAAAGAGTGTGGTTAAGTACAACCCTTGTGCAGATCCATCACCCATGTTCCTGTGATGATTTGGCCCTATGAGCCCTACAAAAATATTCTGGTGCTTTACACTTAGTGTGTTAATTATCCAATTAGTACAATTGGGGAGCCTTTTTTTTTATGGATGATGAGGCAAGGGAGAATGGACCGTTGGATATTCATGCAGGGTGATGATATGTGAAGTTCGTCATATTAAAAATTATTGATTAGAGTTGAATTGACCTAAATACCATTTGCTTGTTTATTTAGATCAATTTGCATGAGGTAAATGTAGATTTTCTTTATCCGCTAAAAATTGCATTTCGTGTATGGTATTTCAAATAATTGATATAGTTGTAGATAATTGGTTCTTGATACCAACAATCATGTGAAGTTTTATGCAACCTTTGTAAAAATATATTGCCTGGTATGCTATTCTTTTTTTTTAGAAATCTGATATGTTGTTCTGTAAGTCAATTGAGTATTATTCTCTTTCTAGGTTTTATATCTGAAGAGAAGAAAATCTTCAGAAGAACACCAGTCTTCAGCCACATGTAGCAGCATCAAAGTGTCAAGTTGTACTCTCTGTCTTAATTACTTAGTCTAAAGCAATATCAAGGACCAAAATGCAGGTAGAAGTGAGACAGGTTGGCTGTGATTATGCAAATTCCATTTGGGTATCAAGAAATCCTCCTTATAGGCCTCAAAAGTCAAAAGAACAACCTCTACATTGTTCAACAAACTGATGCTATTGAAGATACAGAGACCCAAGATAAGTTTGAAAAACTGAAAAATCTACGGCCAAAAGTGTGTTTCCAAAAGGAAAAACATAGTTTCACATATCCTGGTACTGCATAGTTAATTCTGTCCTCTGGGTAGAGCATTTCTGTAGATCTCTCTCTATCTGTGAAGAAAAGAAAGATGGCAGCTCAATGAGTCAATGTGTTACCAAATTACTGAATTACACTGATGACTGATGCAGTGGCCCCAAAAGTGCTATTCAGCAACTATCTCAATTCAACTGTTGGATTTGACAAGATGAGTTACTAGTTACTACTGTATGACAGACAGGCTATTACCAGTAAGCACAAGGCTTCCGACAAGATAAAAGGAAGTACCTGCAGTAGCTCTGAAATGGTGCCAGGGTATCTATCTCAAGTCCTATGCTGTCATGATACATTGAGCTTAACTTTGTCAATCTGAATTCTTTTATGTGCATCTGCCAACTGATGATTGGCATTTCCCTCAACCGGCACCGACAACAATTTGCACGACAGTGTTGAGTACCGTCATTCTGCACAATGCTTGTTCAGGTGCAAATCCCAAAATTCAGTTGCTGCAGTTCATCTCAATTTGGAGGAACACAATAGACATTAAATTCAGTTCAATTCTTGAGAAACTTCTAAAGAATTTTCAGATAAACAATTTCTCGAAGAAACTGCAGTATCTGAATTACTAAATTGCTAATCGAACATGACCTCGAGAAGTTCTAACCGTTTGATCTGTAACACAAATTCACCGTCGTTAGGAATATCTTGCGATGAAAATCTTGTTGATTACTGTGGCAACGACAGAATATGCTAAATAACAACGGAATGTAAGGGGCTTAGCATATAGGAGTACATATTTAGTGCATAGCATTAATTGACATATCCAATCTTTCTGAAGAGAAAAACAGGTCACTCTAGTCCCTGAACATCAACCACAAATTCCTGAAGAACTACAGTGGAAGATCGAGTCCTTTCCCCACTTCCAGTCCAATTGTCTGAAGAACACCCTTGCTCAGCACCTGAAATTAATTAGACAGTCAAATCATCCTAACAAGTGCTTTTTAAAAGCAAAGCAAGCCTGATATTAATTACTTAAACAAGGATTACCAACAATTACATATATATACATACCAGCTCCACAATGAAAACCCCAATGAGACCAATCATGCAGGCCCTAGAGTTCCAAACCTCTGCAGTCTTGGTGAACCCTAGGAATGGCTCACTCAGCTTGGGCTGCTCCCTTGGCACCACAACCTTGGCATAAACCAGAGGTTACTACCAGAAATGAATCAGGCATACATACAAATCTGGATGAGAGAAAGAAAGAAAGAAATAGAAGAGGCAATCATGCAACTGCATATGTCTGTCCACTTACTCCTGCTGGGAGCTCTGCTGCCCTAGCTCTGACAGTTCTTGCTCTTGCTGAGATGGCAGGATTATTCCTCTTGAATCTGTTGTTCTGGAGGGGTTGGAATTGGATTGCCAGGAGGGATGGTGGTTGAACTATGGAGATTAATAACGTCATTGCTTGGTTGAATCTGCTGCTAACTGTTTCTTTTTCCTGCTGTTCACTTCAGTTATCCTCTTGCTCAAATGGATGCAGACCAACCACAGGTAGACACTTGCACCGAGCAAAGGTTGCATCTTTGCAATCTGCACCTCCGATTTCTCCCAGAATTGGTGGCCATATTCTACTAGACCACATGGCAAAAGGGCAAAGGATGATTTTGGAGGGCGGACTAGGGATTTCAGTGTTTACGGCCCCATCGTTTCGGTATATTTGCAAACGAAAAATAATTTGTGAATAGAACTTTTATATACGTGTTTTTAACGATCTAAAAGCAAAGGCTGAAAAATAAACTTCGATGAAAAAACTTCAAAATCAACTCTAAATTTAAGGTTAAAAAATTAAATTTTAGCTAATAAGTATAAACATGAGCGAAAAGATGGAGCCGTTAGTGTTTTATACTACTTGCAAGGGATTTATTGGTTTTTTTTTCTAGAAAGTGCTTGTTCTTTGAAAACACACACTTAGCCACAGGTAATATCAAATTTTAACGCAGCCTCAGCAATAGCAAACAACATTATGGCAAGCCAACGAGGTAAATCTGATACAAAAAAACCACCGAGAACACGCAGCACTTGTCTTCAGCATTGCGTACGTGCCTGACATTGACAATACAATACGTCCGACAAATACCACGTGTAACATTTACTGCCACAACTCGAACTCAGAATACAAATTTTCGACACAAGTAGTAACGGTTTCCTACTAAAGCTTGTGTGCTCAAAACCAACTTATCAGTAATCAACCATCCCTGATTTCAAAAAGAAAAATGGTGGAACTAATCTACCACAACGATTGGATCTAAGCCCACACAGACACACGTCTTGTGCTTGAAAATGTACATGCGGTCATGTACTTTACATGAACAACCAGGCCTGACTCTCTTTACATGAACAACCACATAGGTGCAGCTCACGAAAAAGGCATGCATGCTTCCACAGGCTAAAAAAAAAGAAGGCAGAGGAATTACACTACACAGGCTAAGCATATGCTTCCACATGTGAAAAAAAGAATGCTATGGTAGTAACATATATTGACATGTACAAGATCAACAGCACCGGCAGCAGATTATATCGCGGCATGTGTAGGGAGCAGCTCTGGCTTCCAACTCTTCAAGTGGGGGCACCTCTTCTAGATCATATCCCTTCTGTCTAGAGAAGCAGAAGACGTAGATGTTCCTACAGATGCCTTTACTGAATGGATGAACTTTGTCGGGTATACCCCTGCGAATGATACAGCACGAATGTATTATCACCTGATCGCAATAATAAGTTAGCATATCTGAATCCATTCCTAAGTATTCCATACCTCATGTAGAATATCCGCTTCCTTCGGGCAACTTCGTAGGTTGTTTGATTTGTAAGAGCGATGTAACTGAGAGAAGTCAGAAAACATGCATTATTATACACGAAGTGTTGTTGATTTGGGCTTTGCAATAGTCAAAGGATATAAACCAGCTCATAGGAAAGCAAATTAATCTCTGATGATGATTCCGTGAGCAGAATAGAAAATGTTTAGCTCTTTGGTCATCCGCCTATCGCATTCATATTTAGGTAAACAGTAAAGTTTCATCCATGCCAAAGCTAAAAATCACATTTCTCTAAAGGAAAAGATAGGAACTAACCTACAAATTCGATAAAAACTAAGGCAGCGTTCATTTCTCTGTTTTGGCTAAGTAGCTGTTTGGCTTATCAGAGAAGACACTCAACTATGCATGGTTAATTAAGTGATAACTAGTATAAACTTGAAAAATGGATTTGTTTTATTATTTTAAGAAACTTGTGTATAGATTTTTTTTTCAAAAAGTGCACCGTTTATTGCCTTGGGAAGTGTGCCCGTGATAATTTAGTAGCTGAAAAGAACGCTTGTGGAGCTACTGATTTGTCATTTCTTTTCAGCAACTAAACGCTGGTCCTACCAGTTGCATTACAAATGAATAAGACTTACGTATGAAAGATCAACAATAGTAGCAAGAATATGAGAATAAAGATCAACACAGCCAACAGGATTACGCCAATAAAATCCTTCCACCTGCCATGGTAAAAAATAAGGTGCTCAGATGAGGGGAAAAAAAGGAAAAGTGAGGTTCAATAGAAAGGATTAAAGCAATGTCACCAGAGCAGTGATGTTAAAAGGGAATGACATCATACCAGGCCTTGTCAACATCTAAACGTATCGAGTCAATGTAGAGAGCAACTGTCCAGATACTCAGGATTGTTTCTTCAAATATGTACCACCTAAGATTTTTTTTTTAATTGTTAGGTGACAGTAATTACAGGATTTTAATAGTAGCACGGACAAGGTAATACTACAACTTTCACATCACAGCATATCCTGTGTATAGTGTAAGAAAAAAGTAGCCCAGGTACATAAATCAAATATCACCATTTAAAATAGCATCCTGCAAGGTGCATAATTGAACCTTTGAGCAATCATAGAAATTTGAAGTTCAAACACACCGCAAGGGACGGGTGCATCAAATTAGTGTATCCAAGAATTTACAATTTTAATGAAGTGGTGTGTATATTTACAAGGCAGACCTATAACTGTACATTCACCAGAAACTCTTATCATAGTGCAGACTGCAGATATGCAATAGAACTTTCCAAATCCTTAACAAGAATAAAAGAAGATTTTTTTAAAAAAAAAAACACTTTGAGCCACATGGTTGGGAACAAATAGAACTGCTGCGCATAACAGTATTTCTGCAGTGTGCAGTGTGCATAGTAAACAACCGAGGTGTTCTTCCTAATGTATTATCACATAGAGCAGAAAGTGCAACACAAACCCTAATGATACCTCCAGGATGCAGCACAAGTATTATGTAAGCGTGCAAAATACACACGTGCCAAAACTCACCAGAATCTGCAGTGGTTCTTTTTCCCAATGCATGTTCCAAGCCAAACACAGTGATGATCAAACTGAAGGACACATTTGTCACAGTCATGGCAATGCCTAGTACGAGGTGGCTGTAGATTGCAGCAGAAAATGAACGTGGGCAGTTAGCAGCAGCTTTGCATGCAAAAAATGTGAGGGCCTGGGCAACTCAAATCAATATAGCAAAACGGCATTTCAGAAAAGAGAAATACTAAAGTAATGGGGAAGCGTTAGTTCACTTTGTCAAATTCACAGTAGTTTATTCAAGACATTGCTAAGTGCTAATTATTCCAACGAAGCATCAAATTGTAAATGTCCTCATAATGATCTTCAGAAACATAGATGGAACTTTGAATGGGAATAAAATGGAACAGTTTCAACCAATAATAAGAATACAAGACTGTCAGTAGAGTAGAGTAGTAGACTATTTTAATTGTACCATCAAATGCAACCACTTTTCCAACAATTCCATCTGAATCGTCACTGACCAGATTAGCAAATGTTGAATAGGTTCGTAGGTTTCACTGAATTTAGTCAAACATATTTGAGCACTTTGCAACACACTTAATGTGTAGTACGGTAACTACACATTCTAAGTGATAATTATAATAAATCATTCTAAGTACAGGATCTTTAGTGCTTGAAGTTTAGAGGTACAGGAGCTCTAGTGCTTAGAGTTTGAAGGAGAACAACTACCTGAATAACCCTGCAGTAAGTGCAAGTCCAATCCCTACAATACAATAGAATAGTATAGCTTAACAGTTAGGAGACAAACACAAAGAAATCTATTGTTGAAAATATCTTTAAAATAACATCATTCTTTTGTCAAGACTTGGAGCTTTACCTGCTACTTGACCCAGGGGGGTATAATTCTGCAACTCGCTGCAACCATGTTGATGTAGAAGTGGTCGGATTAAGTTTCTGCTGTTGAGGGAGGCTCAAAGGGGAATTTAAGCTACCATTGTTTGGACTTGATTGTCTTTTCTTAATCATCAAAAACAGACACACACGAAAGTATAAATATCAGCTTACAATCAGTTTTGAACACTACAATTTCTGTGGATTAAGACATTACTTCGAAAGAGTGGCAGTATTGATGTAGGTTGCGTGCATCGTCGAACCAGCTTTCATTGCATCGAGAACATACCTGATAACAGATAAGCCCAAAATACAAAATCAAACACTTTCAAACAATCCCTGGTGGATGAGAATAAACTCAGGAAACTCCATACCCAGGAGATGAACCAGCTGTGTAGAAATACTGCACTAAGGCGATCAAAACAAGCGCTCCATATGCCCCTATGTACCTGCAATCAAACAACGCCATTAAAACAGAGATCCTGGCTCTTAAAAACAGACACGGAACTATAAACTTATCACAAGCCAGAGCACAACTTGCAGGTACGAAAAATAAGAATCACAATGTGATCAGATCTCCGACGGAAATCACGAGCTAGAATTCTTCTCAAAAGAGACCATGTTCTCTCCGCGATGTATATTATATAATGAGCTTTTTGCTGGAGTATCATTGATCCGATGCAGAATCACTCGCGAGGTTGGGCACCACGAAAGCTACTTTCGACTAAAACTAGATCAGAGCATAAGCTGAAAAGGGGAAATCAAATGTACTGCCACCTAGCGCTAGAAGAAGAGGAAAAAAAAACAGCTAAATCCACAAATCTACCCAAAATCTAGAGAGAGCCGCGGCACCCTAAAACTGAGCTTAAATTCGAGCGGAAATGGAGCCTTTGTCAGAGGGAATCGGGCGAGGATAGTTTCGTACCAGGGCTCCTCGCGGATTCGCCTGTCGAGGGTCGGATCGAGCAGGAAGACGGCGCCGACGAAGACCACGTGCATCAGGAGCACCATCGACCTCAGGCCCAGCGACGACCTCCTCGCCGCTGCCGCGCAGACAAAAACCCCCCGAGATCAAATCAGAGCTTAGCTATAGGGCGAGAGAAAATCGGGTGAGGGAGGGCGTGTACCTCGGTCGGAGAACCGGACGCCAGGCTCCGCGGCGGATGTGGACGCCATTCTAGGCCTCCGGCGGCGGCGAAGGCGGCGGCGATTAGTCGGAGAGGTGGAGTGAGGAAGGGTAGGCGGCGGCGGCAACCGGCCGGCGTCGCTGCCTCCAGAGGCGGAGACGACGACGCTTCTGGTGGGAGGAGCGGTCCGGTTTGGTGGGGACGGGGAGTGGGGCCCACTTGTCAGAGGGACATTATTGCTGTGCTAGGGTGTGGGGCCCATCTGGGAGTGGAGAATGGGAGGGACGACACGCTATACAAGAGTTGGATGGGAGAAATATCCGGTGGGAGGTAAAAAAACTATGGGGGATCGGAGAACATTTAATTATAAGCATATAAACGAGAATTTAAAGGTTACAATGTAATTTTAAGTTGATTTTAGGGTTTTCTTTTATCGTAGTGTATTTTTTATGTGCTTTTAAATCACTCAACACACGTATATAAAATTTTACCCATAATTACTTTTTTTATATAATAAGCATAAACGAAACGGAGGTTATTGGTTTTGACATGATATTCCCTCAATTATATTTGACTACTAATCCTAAACCATTGCAGCTTCCCTGCTACAGAATGATGTTCATGCCAACTGTTACATCAATATGTTTCTGTAGTTTGCAAAAGAATTTCAGAAATTACTATGCGTACGATAGAATTGGTATTATTTTATTACGATCCTGTCTTGCATGCGTATGATTGGACCGTGGAAACATGTTGGGGTCCATGTTTGCCGCTTACACAAGAGGATGAACAGCATCCTAACTATCTTTGTTTCAAAATACAAGGACCTATTGGATGGAGTATTTACTAATACAATGTATTTGAAGTCCTATCCAATCCTAGCTTTTTATATTTTGGAACAGAGAAAGTAAAAAATTTCTTCGTATGTATAGCAGTGCTCCAGAATTTCAGCTCTTGGCGGTAAATCTAATAGAACAGCATTCATGGCGTTCCTATGGACGATAGATTCAGGTCATCTTAACAATCATTTGTAAAGGAAGCAAGCAACAGTGGACTCGTAAACCTGCCAGTAAAAAGAACCAAGGCAGGTATGAGGGTTTTTGTACAGTTGTTTTTATTACACGTGTTATGTACAAATCACCCGTACCCATTTTAAACTGAAGCATAACATAGTTACACATTAAAACTCGCCGAAAATAAAAGGAAGCCTAACTATAGTGCAGAGCACGTATGGCACATTTGCCAACAAAACATGAAGGACTGTTTTCAGGATGAACAAGTCCGTCATGGCAGCGTAATTTACAGAAAGATGAGGAGTGCATTCCAGTCCAGCTGTCCATCGTGAAACTTAAGAAGCAGTTGGGCTCTGTTGCGCTCGCATCACCAATTCTTCAGTAGTGTTGCCTAATATCTCATTTGCACGCTTCAATGAGACACAGACAATCCTTCCAATCGAGTCCTGAGCAGCAAAACTGTACTTATAAGCACACAAGAAGATACCTTGGAATTGATCGTGTTGGTATTCATTCAGATATATCAGATAATCCAGGAGCCAACAACTTGGCAGCAAAAACAAGCAAAGCCAACAATTTGACATGCCCTCAGAATAAAAGTAGTCCCAAAAGGAATTAGGTTAACTGAAGGACTCCATAGTCCAAATAAAGCTTACGGAAATTCAGTGTGAAGACACTTTCACAATCAGCATAAAGCTAATGTTATTAAGATTGCCCAAAAGGTTCACATCTTCCATCCATTACATGATTGGCACCATTCTGATGGACAATTACTTTGTATTTGATTATTAAAAAAATTTTGCATGCTGCTCAGAAACTTGCAAAAAAGATTAACAACATATCTCTCTTGTATCGCTATATCATTTTCTTAATATTCTGCAATAGAAACTAGTTTCTAAGTTTAAACTAGAATTTCACATATTTTCAATTCAAAATCAAGGGAATTAGGGCACTGCTGCCAACTGATAATGACCCCAGTGGCATTATTTCCTGGATCTGTCCCTAGTTCCCAGCTCCAGTTCACCAGCTGGAACTGATAAGTTCTCAAAAACTGACTGCTTCGAGATTTTTTTTTATTATTTAACCCTTTTTATTAAATAATTTTAAACACATACGGTGCATTTGGTTGTACGGTGCACACGTTAACACTATGTATGGCATTTAAATTAATGGAATATATAATACAAGTTTGTTTAAATATAATCAAATATCAACTGATATCTAAATATAATCAATATTAGACTCGTTCTGTTGTATATATTTCAAATGAAAAATAATGGTTCAAACGGATTTCTAATATGATGCACCATTGAAGAGATATGAGATAGCAAAGAAGGAAAATCGACTCATACTAGCAGCACGTTCTTTGTTGGTTTGCTGTGATTAACAACATGGTCATTATCTCTAATAAAGTGAGAATCCACAGCAAACACTTATGTGTGGTCCACGTATGTATTGCAGCAAGCTAGCCACGCCATCAAGAATGGCGTTGCAGCACTTGCTTGCAACGCCAAGCACAGTGGCGTGACAACACTTTGACGTGGCAGACCAGTCCGCGTGGTTTCTTTTGTCACGCCAGTGCATGTGGCGTGGCTGTGTACTTTGGTCACGCTATTCAGACTGGCGTGGCCAAAAGGTTCATTTTTGAAAATAAATTTTCAGAGGATTTGTTTTTAAAATTATTTAATAAAAAGGGTTAAATAATAAAAAATTTCCTACTTCGATATATAGAGACCCTCAGTAAGTTTAATATTTTAGACTATAGTTGGTTGATTAAGAGATTTACCCGATGAACGATACCAAGCCTCTCCAATTTCTTTACAGCATCACGAACATCAAAATTGCACTCTGCACCAAACTCTTCCTTAATTAGCTCTTCACAGCGCAAATCCAGATCCTGCAAGGCATGAATAGAACACTGTTAGGATTCTAGGTTTCATATTAACGGTCCTCGCAAGAGATAAAACAGTATATGTTTGTACTTAGGTGTGATAACCCAAATTTTGTTCCTCACAACAATCCAGAAATTTATATCTTGTTAATTCCCAGTCATAAATCAATGCTAAATGTACTGTGCTCATAACAACTCATTACAGAGAATACACAGGAAACTTTTGCTCCTGACCAGTGTCAAGGGCCAAAGGTGCCAATATATTAAAGAAATCACTTTGTCAGCTGCAATACAGGATAATGTGCTAGTAAACCGATAGGAATAAGGAAAACAAAGAAAAATAATGAATCAGGGAACTGATGAGACAGGAGTTCTAGAAAACAGACAGAATGGTCTTAAGGCATAAATGTCTCAGTCTGTACAAAGAGATACAGCCAGGGGAAAACAAGATATATTGCATAATACTCCCTCCGTCCCAAAATATAAGGGATTTTGGGTGGATGTGACACATCCTAGTACAATGAATCTAGACATACTAGGATATGTCACATCCACCCAAAATCTCTTATATTTTGGGACGGAGGGAGTACTGGTTAGCATGCTTACTTGTTCAGTTGCCTTCCCCTGTTCCATTAAGATATAGTAAGAAATTATGACTTCTTTAACCTTCATGAAAGAAGATAAGAGTATCAGTTCTCAGGATAACAAAGATATATATTCAACTTATGGTGCAAAAGAGGTTTCATTTGTTTCGTACTTCTTGCTGTATCACATCATCACACAGGTGAAGCAGTGTTCCTTTCCCACTATCAAGCTGTTTGTCATACATTGATTTTGTGATCAAATTTTGATATATTGTCATATTTTGCTGAAACCTGTATCACAAAAGATAAATCTATCACATTGCACTACATTTGCCCTAGGAAATCTTCCTTCACCATGTAGAACGACATTGATCAAATGGATAATAATATACAAAACCTAAGCACTTACGTGAAGTAGATCTTAGCACAATATCCAATCACACCCGACAAGATTGCTATGACAACCCATATATCAGCCTTTGGCATTTCAAGGGAACCAAATAAAGTGACCTGCAAGGGACCAAGGGTAAGGGATCGATATAGTAAAATATTGCTAGAGTTGCATGCAGGGATAGCCAAAAGATCAGAAACATACCAGACCAATAACAGCAGAAATAAGAAACTTGACCCAATCCATTGGTGTTAAAGTAGGGTTCTTCTTCTCTGGCTGCAAAAGTAAGTTTCAATTTCAGGTCCTTGCTAACAGCCACAGATATAGCTAAAAGATGCTAAAAATGCTACACATTTATCTCAACTCTAGTGATTCATCTTACAAGAACAATTTCCATGTCAGCCATTGGGATATTCTTGAAATGCTTTACAAATATTCCTCGATCAGGCTTAGTCTTAGTACCTGCCCTCCTGCACATATACAATCATCGGAAGGAACCAATTGTACTACATCAGCACTTCTAAAATTAGGATCCTTCATGAATGTGGAGATTGGCTAAACAAAATATCAAAGGGTCAAAGTTACCTGTACACCACAATCATCCTATCAAATGTGGGTTCTTGAATTGTCATCTTGCTCATCAGATTTCTCACGCTGTCTCACCAGAAAAGATAATGCATCTTAAAGTAGGCCCAATTATAGTTCAGAATCTCCTTTCAAAAATTATAGTTCAGAATCAATTTGAGAAAACCAATTACCAACCTTAGCTCGATTTTTTCTAGCCTAATACGCTCGACAAATAGTTCTGGTTCTTCTAAGTCTTCATTAATTTCATCGGTCTTCTTTGTGTCTTTCTTGGACTTCACCTGTGGTTTTTTTGAGAACAATCTATCAATCCTGCAAGAAAGTAGGATTCTCAGTACTGTGCACCACAATAATTTTGTTTTCTGGATTGATTTTCCAAGACCTAAAAGTTTCTATTCAAAATGACAGATACCTTGTAACTCTGAGCAATGAGCTCCAAGCTCGGGATATGATCACATCCAGTTTCTCCATGATAAAGTAATCGGTTGTACGGTCAATTCCAATGCCCCGACGAAAGATAATATACTGCAAAAATGTGGCCAGTGTAAAATAAAATAAGAATATTCTCCAGCATTAGCAGAAAAAAATGACTTACTGTCCTTGTGGGACAGGCAAGTGTAATAAAGGATATAAAATCATGAGAACCACCAAACAATTGGAGTGCTTCTATGTAGAACCAATCATAATTTCCTCAGATTGGAAATATAAAACATGATATTAAGGGAAAGGATGACAAGAAAAAGAAACCACCTTACTGAAATGAAGATTACCTTATTAGCAAATGAAGGCAGATT